TATCAAAGTAACCCTTCAAACCCCAGCAGTCTTGCAGTATGAGGGCTGCGCTGGAGGATCTGTCTGGTTGCAACATGTAATTCAGGAAGCCCAGCAAAGCTGACCTGCTGGTGGAGATTCAATGCTCTCATGATGTAACACTGTATGGAAGCTCAAACTGCAGCAGATTTCTCGCTGTTCAATTCTGTGCATACATGTATACTTGTGTGGGCATGATTTTAGTTAGCCATACTTTGGTCCTCAAGTCTTGGACCTTTTAAACGTCATGTCACAGAAAGATGATTTTTAGACTTACAGACCAATTTTTGTTAGAAGGGACTCCAAATGTCACCTGCTCCCACCACCAGTAGGGCCAGCCTACATCCCGTTGCTCGGAGCATCGTGCAGGTCTATGAGACTGAAATCGCTGCACTCTCTCTGGACAATGCAGAGTTTAATGGCTCTCACTGGACACTTTCTACCTCTATCATGCTGGAGCTTCCCTGGCTGCAACTTGTGACTGTTTCCTTGTGGCTATTGCCTGTGCATCTGCCAGAAGGGTCCGATTCTGTCCTCACCGAAACTGCCCCGCACATGAGCAGGTTTGCATGTGTGATGTGCCAATGTGATCTTATCCTTGCTAACCTCTCCTCCTTTTGGTTTCTTCTATTTGGCTAGCTCAGCGGTCGCTTTGCTGAGTTCTGATGACAGAAATGTGTGGGAGGTTTATGAAACAAAACATTTTGTCACATGCTTTGTCTTTGACCTGTTTTTGAAAAAGTTTTGTGAAGCACTGGAAATACAGGTGAAATTCCGAATTGTCTCCTCAGAAGAGCAGTGTTATTGTAGTACAGCTGTGGAGGACATCAAACATGTTGAATATTCTTCAGCTTATTTTCCTTTTTTTTGGATTTCAACTTGATGAGCTAGGTAAATCTTCTTAGATCTTTATTTGGATCAGAAAGATTCTTACTGTGAACTGCCAGAACATGTGCCTCAGAAATGCAGTGATCCATGATGTGTAGAAACATTTCACATGTTTGAGTTGGGCCAGTTTTGTGCTGCTACAAGAGCAGCCATCCGGAAACTTGGAGTTCTTAAATTCATGAAGTTACTTCACATCAGCAAAATATTTCCTGTGGGAATTTTTGGGAGAGTGAAGGAGAGAGAGGAGGATAGGCTGAATTCCAAGTACAGATTCAAGTGTTGCTTTTCGTATTGACACTTTGAAGGGGTTTTGCTTTATTTCTTGTCTCTGTTCTTGTATATGGCCTTTATTCTTATAGAATTCTGAGTCTTCAGTTTTCTGGAATACTGATTGCAAAACTCCTGTGTAAAAGTAACTGTTAGAAACCCTTCCACAGTACTCTGGCGTTAATTATTCCTAGAATTTCAATGAAACGGGAAGGCAGTTTAATGAACTTGAGTTTTGCATTAGTGATACTCTGCCTTAAATGCTTATCTATTATCTGTCCATCTGGCAGCTCACATGCCTGTTGGCAGAAGTGCTTTTATTTCTTTTCCTGAAAAATTCTGGCACTGAATGTATAAACAAGCAGCACTTCTTTCTTCATTTATAATTCAGCATGAAATTCTGAGCATTATTAGTTAATTAATATTAAATATGGTGAATTCTTGCTAGTGCGAGTATAACGCCCTGAATTGAAGCATATGGAGTGGTACCACCTCCTCACAGTGAGAAGCTGGCAGATTGAGATCCATCTGTCAGCTGACACACGCACCAGTGCCCGTCTCCGAGTTTACGGTGAGGCGATGCAGACTGCCAAGAGAAACTGTGAGAGGGGCTGAGACCATCTACAATCGTGGCATATTTGGTGGGAAGGCAAGTGGAAGAATTGCTTTCCCCTCCCCAATTTGCTTAAAAAAAATATTATAAAATCTTTATTTGAAAAAATGTACTGGCTTTTGGTTGTGAAAATAATTTATTAATAGCAAACATGCTATGGACCCTGAGCTTCCCAGCCTGTTGGGTTTTTGCTCAGTTTGCTTACTGGGAAAAGCCCCAGCTGTCTGCAGCCATGCAGAAAACACACTTCCTTTCTGGGGGAAAAGTTAAATTGCTCTGAACTTGAACCACTCTGATGTGATTGTACGTTGTGCTGGGTAAGCAGCGTCACCCAGATGCTGCATCAAGGGTGCGTAGGACAATACCTGGTGATATCTGCTGATGTTCACAGACATAGAGCTGCAAGAAACTAGGTTGAGAAAACAGCCCTGTTTCATAGGGATCTACTGGGCTTTCAACTGTGCGGGTACATATTCATCAGGTAGCAACTCCTAAAACGTTAAGGCATCTCTAGTGACATTCAAAGTTAACGCTTCGTGTTTAATGTTAACTCAAATGAAACTTGAAAATTTCAAAATTTCAGAATTGGCCAGAGAAGCACAGACCTTCTGAAGTCTTTTTCTCAGTATGGATAAAATTTGACATGGTGTTAGTTGAAGCTGTTTTGAATATCCTCTTCTAAAGCGATTTTTTGGTGAATACTTTAGAGAGAGAAATGAATCCACAGGCTTATACAACTTCTTCAGAGTAATAATAGACAAAAGCCTAAGCCTGGAAATTCACCCTTCCTCACCCCCCCAAAGTATGCAAATCTTACCAGTTTAATTTCTGTTTTGTCTACAGAAAAGCATCTTGCACAAATTCTGCACTAAGCTGAAACTTCTGGTTTTTGCATTTATTTTGTGATGCTTTGTGGCTTCTGTTGTTGTGCAAATGTGACACTAATTAAAGAAATCCATAGTGTGACTGGGGAGGACTCATCATAAGCAGCAAACTGGTCAGCTTAGCTGCTGTTGCTCATTTTGAACGGAAGTTTTGTATTTATGGCATGCTGTTCACAGAGAAAACTGCTGGCAAATGTTGCTATTGCAGCTTCATCTTTGGTGTAAATGTACGGTCTTTTCCTCTCGTCACTTTTTAATTTCTTATGGTCGTATTATATGGGGGTGAAACACAGTTTCTCTCTGTGCTGTCAGAAGCAGTAACAGGACAGACAGTAAAATGGCAAGTTGTTAGCTCGGTGCTCCCTGCAACTGCTGCCTCTCCACCTTGGCGGTGAATTTTTTTTTAATTTATTTTAAGGCATTTGGGTAATTATATTAATGCCATATTGTATGAGGATGGTTTGCTTTCGGGGAAATTGTGTTACTGGTGAAAAATTTGTGATTGATTCATAAACCATGATGTGTTTTGAAGGCTTGTGAGCTAGGTAAGCACAATTTATATACAGCACCCTATTTAAAACTTCAGTTCGTTGCTAATACCTGGAGAAGCAGGCTGAAATACCTCATGATGTTTTGCCTGACCTGTACCTGCTATAGTTTGTGCCTTTTAAGACAGAATCTCTGCAAGCTGAAGGGGAGGAGGAGAATCAAGGCTTAGATTTGTTTTTTGGTTGGGTTTTGGTTGTTTTTTTTAAGAGATAATTTCTGAAGAGCCTAAATAAATATTTTTCAAGACTTACATTGAAGGAACTGGGGAGTGACACTGAACCTTAGATGAAGGAAGTAAAACCCATATATAAAACCCATGCTGAGTGGAAAGGTTTTCCATTACCCTGTTATCTTTGGTCTGTCTTTGGGGTATATAAGGAATTGGTATCTTGTGGCTGTATCAGAAAATAAATCTGTGTTACGACATTAGGCCAGACTGGGCAGAGGCAAGGCTGCTGCGGCTCCATGCCCCAAGTCTGATCCGTGGCAGGGCTGAGCAAGTGTTCCCAGTAGGCAAAAAGGTTTTCTTGCCCAGAAAGAGTTAGAAATGGAATTTCCTAAGAAGATAAAATGAACTGCAGATTAGACAATACAAGTGTATGGACCAGCCACTGTTTATATATGAGCAACTATTTTATCCCCTTATCTCTCTGTTTTCCCCACACTTATTCCTCCATGAGTCATCTAGATCCTTCCCTTTCCCTGCCTCTGTTTCCTCCTCTAAACAACCCATAGTAAGTCTTGTGCAATCCCAGAACGCTCTTCTGCTGCATCCCATACCTGTCCCGTACTCTGATGCACTGACCACCTGCCTCCCAAATTGCTCTGGAGCTGGCTCCCCAGGGTGGGTGTCACCCCTGGCCAGTGGGGCTGAGACTCTCCTGGGACAGCCATCCCTTCCCCTGAGTCCATAATTTGTGTTCCCCCATCTGCCTTTGGGCTTCTGCTCCTCTTGGGCCCTTGGGGATGGACCTGGGATGGGCTGTTGGCTCCTGGGGTGGACCTGGGAGTGGCTGGGCAGGGTGTGATTTGGGCTCCCCCTCCTTTGTGAGTGTGCAGAGGAGCTTTCTATCAAATGCCCAAACAATTTGTACTATAAACTGTATCAAGATTGAAATAGACAAATTAATCTATCTTTTTGCCTTTGTATAGTTGGCATTAATTTTAATACTCAATACTTTTTTTTAGTTTTTAATATGTTAACAAATATCAACCTTTTTGTGAAGCGATGATCTGACTAAAAAAAGTCCTGCTTTCTTTTTTGCAATTCAGTTTGCCTCCAAAGTCTTATTTGTCTTCCATAAAATAAATATACTTTGTCAGAGAATATATTTGTCCTGTTACTAATTCACTTTATTAATTTCTGATATTATAGATTGCCTGTATATTGTGAGAATACTTTCCAATTTGACTTCTGATCTCTGGTGAGCAGAAGAAACGGCTTTTTCTAATAACTGCTTTCCTATCGGAAATTGAATTTTCTGGATGGGCTGCTGTAAAAGCTAAGGCCAATGAAATGGTGGTTGTAATAGATTATTTTTTTCACGTGTAGTGTATTGGCAGTCAGACGATGGATCTCCAGGAACTTGAAGGTGGCGGAAGGGAGCCACTTTCTTTAAGATGTATCCTTAGAGACTGATAAAGTGAAATGCGGTTGTGTAAGATCTAATTTGTCAAAGAGTGTAGTGTTTCTGCAAGATGTTTTACTTTCACTTTTCTGTAGTTCCGTTGCTTTGGGAGTTGCTGATTGTCTTCAATTACTGTTTTTGTTTTCTTCTTAGTAAAACGCTTCAGAGAACCAAAGCATGAAAGACGTCCCTGGAGGATATGGTATGTTTCTGCATGTTTAATCTTTTTTTTTTTTTTTTTTTTTTTTATTTTAGAAATTGAAGGAATGATTGTTTGCATATGATGATTAAAAAAAAAAGTGATGACAATACATTAGTGACTTTTTTTGTGAGGAACAAAAGAAGTTACCAGAATACATGAGTCAACAAAAAGTTATCTTCTGTATGTCCCTGCTGGTTCTTTCTTACTGAATCCTTCCAGGAATCTCTACAAAGACGTGCATTTAGACATAAAGCTTCAAGTTGTGCTGCTTCTTGTAGATGGAAACTTACAGTTGCCCTAAGATGCATCTGAATGTCTACAAACTTACATACGTTTACAAGAAGTTCTCAGCTTTAAACAAAATTCCATGTTTTGTAGCTATCCTACTACTTAGAGAAACAATATGGTCGAAGATATAAATACATAAGCCTTAAAAGAATACAGTGTAAAAAGTATGTTTGGTGTTATTACTTTTTTAAGTTGCTGGACTGTAGCAGTGCCAATGTAACCTGTACTAGTTTTGAGACTGATGTAAATGTTAAGCTGTTGTTCCAGTTGTTGAAGACTTCAGGGGTTTAAATTCATCTCTTACAATGCTGCTTTTCAGAACTAATCCTGACTTTCGTTTTATTGAAAAACTAAATACAGAATCTTTGTGTACTACGTTCTACCTCAGCCTGAAATTCTGAGTAGTGTGGTGATTTTTAATTTTTAAGCAAAAAATCTTGTTCTGGGACTATTGTCATTTAGAGAGTGGTGTACTGATTAGATGAGTAACTCGCTGGCTTCCGGCCTCGTCTCCAACGCTGTGCTTTGTGTCGTGCAGTGCATGCAAGGTAATGCAGTTTGAGACAAAGGTGTCAGGGAGGGGAGATGAGTTCAGGCATATAATGTTGTTTGGATCTGTTGGCGTGTTTGGATCTTTTTAGACATGGAAACAACAGGTAAAATGGGTGTTGATCTGTATAAAGAAAACACTCTTGCCTACAGAAAACTTTTGACATGATTCCTGTATTTAACATGTAATAAAACATCCACTGGAAGTTTTGGTTTTGATATGATGATAAAAGAATGTTAAGGGCTGGAGTCAATACTGAATCAGTACTTAAGCAATTTTTTTAAATATTTCCCCTGTAAGTGGCAAACTATTTTCTCTCTAACTCTGTCATCTGCTTTGGAGATAATACTTGCAAGGTTACAATTCTTTTGCAGTGCAGTCTAAGCTGTTGTACTACAGATGAAATTAAGTGAGACCACTTCATGCTTTCAAATGAAAAATTTGACTTTTTAGCTAAATACTACAGATAAAGGACTCATTAGCCAGCTATTAAATTGCTCAACAAGCACATGATGAGGATTTTATTTTTGTCTGTGCCGCAAACTTGCTGAAAATGCATACATGTAAAAGGACTGAAATATCCCAACGAGGCTGGGATACTCATCATTTACAGGAGGTTATTAAAGACTTAGCTAGGTTTAGTGAGGATTAGCTCTTGGATAATGCATATGATACCGAGAGGATGTCCCTAAACTTTAAATTTACAGTGGCAATGTTTCAAGTTAGTATGATTTGGTTCATTGTTAACAATATTCAAGAAAAAAGGGGCAGAGTGTAAAATGGAACATTAAGTAAGCTAAATACCATGACGCTTTATCATTCTGGTGTTCTCTTTTGAAGAAAACATGAATAACTGAGATGGAATTTAAATATAAAATAATGTAAATTTACGATGTCAGACTGTGTTGTAAACAGTTTTGTGTGTCTTGAAAACTGTTTTCACTTTATTCAGGTTTTTAGATACTTCCAAGCAAGCCATAGGGATGTTGTTCATCCACTTCGCAAATGTCTATTTATCAGATCTTACAGAAGAAGATCCCTGTTCACTGTGAGTATTTAATTGCAGAATAATTGTTTTTTATGGAAGTTCTGCTGTTGAGTTTGGTGGTGTATGTGGACGATAACGCAAGCTAGAGCTGAGAAACCCATTTTCATGGTAAAAATCGATCACTTTCAAAAACCTTGTAGTTTAAGCTTAGTTAATCAAGGGTCAGAGTTCTGGTCTTTTAATTCATGGCTGGCGGGACCTGCAAAAACTTTCTAGGCCATGTTTTAGACTGAGGGTAAACTCTTTCTACTTCTCCCTCTCCAGTTAATGAATGAGGACTTAGCATGCACATTGTAATAGGAGGCTGTTTGCTGAAGGAGGTGCTAGGAACCAAAGGAAATGGTGACTACAAAGTTGTATACGCTGACCTCGAGCTGCACTGTTCACTGCTCCAAGGCTTTGATATCAAGTCAGGTTGCTTTCAGGGATATTTAGCGAAAAACATTCATGCTTGTATTTTCTTCTAAAACCTACATTAGCTACTGCAGTATTATTTTCATTTTGTTAAAGCAGGAAATCTTGCTCGGTACCCAGGCAGTTAGTACAAAAATTAATTTCACAATGTCACGCTTGGAGCAGTGTGACTACGTAGATAAGCATTTCACTGTAGTGTATTAAACCTGAAGATTTTATGACTAAGACCCCGTCAGGCTCTTTACAGGAGCTCCTGAAGCAAATTGTAATTGTTTGGGTTCATTCTTGATAGGGCTCATGCTCAAAGAAGCTTACACATTCCCGGTAATAGAAGCTGTGAAATTACTTTTAAAAGCCTAGTAATTTGCCCTTTAAAACCAATCCAGTACCTTCAATTGCATCTGCTCACTGTTGTCCTTTGGTAAACAAAGGAGCTGCACAGCTCAAGGAATATGCTTGTGTTGTTTCACAAGCCTGTTTTATTTCCCTTATTCCTCCTTAGTTTCTTTTGTGTTCCTGCATGCTATAAATGTGCAAGTAAAACACTGCTTTTCTCTTCCCATCACAAAGCATTTTGGTAGAGAAAATGCATTTATTTTAATATGCTAACAGTAAAGTTTAAGTTATAATTACGACAGTTTCAATAATACCAGGCATCATTGTAGGGTTTTCCTTGTTTACTGATTTGAGAGTTTCCTGATATATTTAAAAACCGGCAGGTGCAAATTGCTTTCATTCCATTTTTATATATTCAAGTATATATTCAAGTAAGCTAACCAAAGCATATCCAAAATTGTCAGTGTTTAAAGCTAAAGCTCAATAGTTTATTACAATATTATAAAATTAAAATTTTGTGCTGTGTACTGAGTTTTCAAATAAAAGGTTTACTAACCTGTGCGTTCTCTTCTACGTGTTCTAATATAGTCTACATAACTTTACTTTCTAATGCCAGTTTTTATGGTGTAACATGACACAAAATAAGTAAGAGAGTGAGGTAGAGAACTGTTATTCACTGTTCTCAGGATAACAAAAATTACAATATGGAGCTGTTTAATTTTCTGGACAAGGGTGCAGGTCCTCCTTGTTAGCAGAAAAAATAGCATGTAGTATTAGCCAAAGCCACTTATGCTTCCTTGAGAAAAATATCTCTTAAGTGTGTGAATGGGTCAAAATCAGTGAGTAAAAGCAATATTTCTGTCTGTGACTTTAAATAACAATAAATTTTTTCAGCAAATTCAAACATGGATAGTTTTCTGTTCTTTCCTGTTCCGCAGTTTGTGGATTATTTTCAGAGCAAAAGTGGAAAATGCAGTTTTAGAAAACATTGTGGTTCAAAGCTTGGAAAGAACTCCAATTGGAAGTTGCTATTCGTTAGTTTGGGAATGTAGTGCTGGAATTCAGGCAGGTGTGTGATAATATCAAAGCTGATAAAACATCTGTTAAAACACCTCGACAAGTGGGTGGTTGTTTGAAGGATTTTAAACAGGAAAAGCAAACAGCACTCCTTTGCTGTAGCGCAGGGCACTCAGCCGGCTGCGTGCCGTACACCGGGAAGTTTGTATCAATTCCAGCCTTCTACACGCTGAACTCTCAGCCAAATGCATTTATCTGGTAGCAGCAGTGACTCGTGGTGCTGTCTGTGCTGGTGCACGGGTTACCCGGTTACTGGTGAGCAGGGTTAATGCAGGCTGTTGCAGAAGGAGCACCTTGCCTACATGGAGTGAGCCTGATGAGCTTGGGAATACCAGGCGTGCTTGGCCTGCGCTGCGAGCCGCGATTTGATGTAAAATAGGTGTTGGCACAGCTCTGCTCCCTGCTCCTGCTGGCTGCCTTCCTGCCGTAGGCTTACAGCAGCCCCTTGTGGCCTCAGAATGGCTCATGTAGGCTTCTCGTGGCTGAGGTTCCTCTGCCAAATCCAAAACTTTAACGTTTGTCTAATGCCAAGTTCATTGGAACTCTGATTTGACACACAACTATTAGGAAATAACTGGTTTTTAGAAAGTTTATGAGTAAGTCTGGGCTGAAGCAAGGCATGTTGGCTTTATTGTTATTTTCAAGCTACTGTCGAATGGGATTTTGAGGGTCAGAACAGCTCCTTTACTGTTTTGAATGCACATATTCTTTGCTTTCCACTCGCTGATACTATTTTGTCCACATCAATTTGTCTCTGCAGCCAGCAGAAGCCCACAGGTCTCTGAATTGCTATTTTTAGCTCTGCAGAGAAGTTCCTATGGACTCCAGAGTTTACCTTAAGTATTTGGAATTCCCAAATAATAATCTCAGTAACAGGGACTTCCTATGTGTCTTATAGCTGGCTCTTTGTGAGCTGCTGTTTAGTTCAGCTAAAATCAGTGATAGTAAATAAACCAAACTGACTTACAAAATGCTCTGAATTTCAGCTGCACCTTTTAATGAACCTAAGAATTAATTTGAAACCTGTAGTAATCTCTAGTTTCCTGAAGCACAGGTAAGATCCCAGAAACTGTACTGTCTAGGTGTGGTTTTCCACTGCTCATTGCTCCTTGTTGAGGCTGGAAAAGGGCTCCCTTGAAAAACTGTCTGGTTGTGGTATCTTTTCCCCTCGAAATGAAAGCCTTTTGGGTTAGGTTTTCTACCTTCAAATTCCTTGAGTTGTCTGTAAGATAACGTCTCTTTTTATTCCTTTTCCTTTTATTGCTTTGGTTTTATTCAAATACAGGTTTTCCATGCAGAACGAACTGAGCAATGGTAGAAAGGAAATCTGGTTTTAATTTAAAGGAGTAAAAAGAATATTGTAGTTTGTATATAGTATGCACATGCATACACCAGAGGTCATAAAAATAGAAGTTGAAGCTTAACCTTAAGGACAGAAGCAAAATACTGAGACTCTTCTAAAAACTATTTCAATTTTAGGCTTACTACGTAATTACAGAAGTGAGTAAATGATTATTCTCAATGCTTTGGCTCCTCAACATATATACACATCTCTTATCAATCATGGTGTTAAATACACTGAACTTGTAAAAGATGGACCCTTGCTCCTTGTTTCCTTTTACATTTTTCCTTTCAGGTACCTTATCAACTTCTTGTTAGATGCCACACTAGGAATGCTGTTAATCTACATCGGTATCCGTGCAGTCAGCAGCATTGTGGAATGGCAGCAGTGGGAGTCCCTTCGCTTTGGTGAATACGGTAAATGTTTCTGTTCTTGCACCGAAATGATGTTCGGAATATTTCTGCTAGTGACTAAATCACCTTAAAATCGTTATATGGTGATTATAGTGGTCATTTTGATATTTCATTTGTCACAGGGGTTCTTTTAAGTTCTGTATCTCAGCATGCATCTTCTGTGTTAGAAAGCTTCACAAGTTTCTAAGCATTTAGTGAGTTTGGAACAACTGCTTGAATGTTATTTTTTTTTTCTTAGGAGTGATTGAACAAATTATGATATTGGCTAGTCTCATGGGGAAAATAACAGCAGGATAAATTTACTCTGAAACACTTTTAAATAAATGATAGCTGAAAGGTAATTTCCTATTAAAGCTTTCACTGAACCACCTGCTGTTGTCTGAAGATAGGGGCTAAGAGTTCTGCTAGCCCTCTGTAAACAACCACACACCTTCAGTGAAGAGAATGCCAAGATGGTCTGTGCTCATCTGCAAGTGACTATCTCTCCAACTCCTAAACATAGGGCTTGTGTCACTGATGAAAAATGCATACATCTTTGTACGGGCTAAGGGATAGACTATAGTGGAATCACTTTCACATGAAGTTGTGAGTGTTGCCTTCTCTTAAGTTAGCCACAGAAGTCCACTGATCTGCAATAATTGTGGATTTGCAGATGCAGTTGAGTATCATACATACTCAGCATCAACATTTAGTTCTGTTCAACCTGTTATTTTCAGACTGCTTAGTCTTACTGGTTGGGAATGGGAGTTCTGTGTAGATGCTGTAAATTACAATTGAAGCTCCTTGAGATGGGAGTGGGGGAGACATTGCCTGATAAGAAGAGCTATGGCTATTCATCAGAGAGAAAAACAAACAAACAAAACCTTGGGGGTGGAAGAAGGAAGGAAGTTTGCCTACCAAAGTAAAAGCTTTCATAGCAGTTTTATAATTATCACTGGTAGGATTTTTATTTTTGTAGGTTGTTTTTCTTTTTTTAATGATCCTAAGTGGCTGACAGAATTAAGAATAAATAAAGACCTCGCCAAGTTGAAGTACTTTAAAAGCTTGGGGAGTTTACAATTAAATCAAATAGCATTAATTGCTGTCTGCTTTAATGTCAGAGGTTTAAAATAGAGATGATGACAAGCATCTATCTTAGGAGAAATAACTGCCTAGACCATTAGGGCATTTTTTGCTAGATTTATGTAGATTTACTGTGTATCTTTTAGGGTACAGTTTGTGACCAGTTAAGCTGTTTAAATCAGCACTGCCACAACCCTGTTTGTCTGCTTTTTTCCCACATGCCACAGTCCAATATTTCCACTCTTTTCCTTGGACTAGTGCACATCTAACTCTTCAGGGAACTGATTCAAAGCACTAAACCATCAGAAAATTCACCATATGTAGAAAAGTAAACAGTTCCTCCAGATCAGTCCCCAGACTTGGGTCTTTAAAGGATTAGGTAATCACCAGTGCCCAGGGAAGGGAAGAGGGCAAGGAAAGAGCTGAGCTACACCTTCTGACTGAGCTTTGAGATCCATTGCCCAAAGTCCCTCTTTCTGATTGTTGATTTGGCTTGAAGCCATCTAAAGATGTTTGAACAGCTTTTAGCCCGTATAAAATTGGCTTTCCACTCAGAGCAAAAAACTTAGTGTATCTATTACAATTATAGGTAGGTACTTGTAGTCATGTCAAATATTAGTTTTTATTTCTTCTGAAGAGCGTTCTGGTTTTTCCTGTGTAATCTGTTCTCCTCTCCCGTTTTAATATCCTTTGTCTATGTGGGTGGGAGGGTGTGGGGAGCGTATTCACTCTCCTGAAATTTGTCTCCATCTCTTACTGGCTTCCAAAGTGAACCTGTTTTTATTTTAGTTAGCTATGAGGCATCTGTGACTACAGTAACTAAGCTCTTAAAATGAGCAAATGCACTTTTATTGTGTTCTGCTGTGGAGGTGGTCTGTGACTGATCCATTATTGTCATTTTGAGTTAGATCTGAAATGCTTAAACTTGTTTATCAAATCAAGTGTTTCTTCCCTCCGCATGTGCGTGTATAAGCAACGTAAGAAATTATGTAAGTCCTCTTTACTTAGTTGCTCTCTCCAGTATCAGATTTTATTAGTGACTAACTTTCTTTTCTGTATCTTCATTAATGTACTGTCCTGACCTTAGTGTGTTGGTTTTTAATCAAGCTATCATAAGGACTATTAAGAAAAGCATACTGTAAATACATGTTTCCATTAATTATGTGGGAGAGACTTCTGGTATAAAGATAACTAGTTAGCAGATGGAAAGTTATTAGTAATGGCTGTGCAGTAAGGTTAGGCCCAGTGTAAGAAATCTATCTAAAAAGTTACATTGGAAGTTACAAGTTTGCCGCCCTCTTCTGTTAAGTGCTACTGTTGTTTCTGAAGTGAAAGCCCTCGTACAACCATTTTGTTTAAAATTCTTCACTTTGACCTCGGGAAAAATCTTGTCTTATTTTTAACAAGATTCTTTAAAATAATTAAATTGAGTAGAAGAGTGGACTAAAATACAGTCCTCTGGGGTCGCAAGTGTGTTTAGGCTTAGTAGTTTGAAGTTAAACACGGATGTGTAGCATACACGGGTGGTGAGGTGTCGGCTCATTGAAAGGCGCCAGACACTCGTGGCATTTTATCTGAAGGAGTAAAGCCAAGTCCTCAGCTTGGAAATCAATGTCTCTTCAGTTTGTTTGCAACTGTGGGAAAACAAACAAGAGCTGCTGCCCCTGCCCAGCACTCCCTTCAAAAAAGTCTCTCCTCTTGTGATTGAGTGATATTGTTTGTGTTTCTTGAACCTAAATAATCATTTGTCTCGAGTTAGTTCTCACTGTGAGCTCATTTCCCTTCTTAGCTCTATTACTTGATCCCTGGTGATTCATTACTTGAAGCTGTCACAAAAATAGCAGTGTCCTGCTGGTTTTAAAAGCCTCTTCTTTATATGGAGGATAGTTTTTAAGCATAAATGCCTCAAGGAAAGAATGGATACCAAAATATCAGCATTCATTAACGGTTGCTGTTTGTACAGCAAAACATCACTGCACGCTGATTTATGAACAAAGTAGCATGATGTTCCCTCAAGGGGTTTTTTTATGTTAGAATTTTAAAGTTTATTAGATTTGTCTTCACATTTCCAGTTTTGTATTTTTCAGATTCATTACATCAGCAGCTGGATTTTAATACAAGTGCAGAATCAGTTAATATATTTGAGTATGTAAAGAGGAGAAAAGCAGTCATGATCTGTACTGAAAAGAATGTTCCCTGTGTTCTCCTTCCCTTCTTGTCTTAGGCTACTTTAGCTGCTGTGAGTAGGAAACAGGCGACTAAATCCCTTTTGGTGACAATGAACTCTGTTGGCAACTAAATCATTCTGTGGTCTCTTTGCTTGTCTTGCTTCTCAGATGGCAAAGCTGAGAAACTGTATTTGATGCATTTTTCCCCCTTTGTTTGCAGAGCAACTTACTTACAGCCATATGGAGTAGATAGCACTTACTTTAAAACTTTGGAAAATTTATTTTGGAGTAGTTCTGTGAGTTGGCATTTTCTTAAGAAAACTTCTTAGGATTTGAAGAACAGAGAGAAATTACAGGATAGAGGAATCACAGGTATTTTGTTCAAGAGCTGTCTATAAATGGACTTCTACAAAGTGGCTGATGAAAGTAGCATACACTAGTATAGACTAGTTTTTCATTGCCCGGCATTTTCAAAAAAATGTTGCTACAGTGGTCACTGCTGAGGATTCAGATTTTTCAGTTTCAGTCTTAATGTGCTTTTCTTGTAGTAATAAGATGTCTACTGATTTGCTAGTTTATTCTAGACATGTAATTTATACATGTCAGGTATAGAATCAGAATTCAAGAGAGACTGTCAGAGACTTTAGAAATTAAATTAGAGCTGTATGGCTTCAACATTAACTTTAAAGTTCTAATTTGAGTTTGTGTACTGAATCTTTGAACAAGTGTCCTAACTGTTCTTGGGAGCACCTTCTGGATGTGGTGGTGTTATTAACTTCTACTTTTTCCCTTGAATTGCATAGCTTATAAAATCATAGAAAAAATTTGGTTGGGAAGGATCTCTAGAGGTCATATAATCCAACCTCTTGCTTAAAGCAGGGTTAACTTCAAAGCTATAGGGGATTGTTCAGGGCATGGTCCAGTCCAGTTTTTAATTGGTCCATGGTTTGAGATTTAAAACTCCCTTTGAACAACCTACTCCAGTGCTTAACTGCTCTCATTGTGAAAGGTTTCTTCCTTTATGTCAGAATTGTTCGTCCACCCATCCAGCCTATATCTCCTCAACTTTTCTACAAGGGTGCTGCTGGGAGACTGTCAAAAGACTTGGTAAATTCAGAACAGACAGTGTCCCTGTTCTCCCTGCTTGTATTTGGAGCTGGAGATAATTTGGTGGATGCAGTAGGGCACACAAAAATCCTCATGTATAATTTAATATACACAACTTCTAATTTCAGTCATGTACCAGAAAAAACCCAGCACCCCTCCCCGCAAAAACATCATGGAACAAAACGTTCGTTGGTCATAGTGCACAACAATCAATACAGAGTTTCACCATCTTTAGACATACGAAATCCCATGTGACGGAGTTGGAACAGATGCAAAATTGCTATACCTGTCTTTACTTTTAGGAATTAAATACAGATTGAAAAAGGGCTTAGAATAAACTGGTAAAGTTTCAATGATAAATCTGTAGCTAAAGCTAGATTGTGTTTTTTCATATTTGCTAGTTAATGAAAAAAAACAGAGAATGCTAAAAAAAAAAATGTGGAGTATAGAAATCAATTGCTAAAATTTGATTCTCGAATCTAATTTAGGCATTCTATCTTCAGAATTAGCACTGCTCAACTTTGAATTACCGGTTTCCCCTTTCAAATTTTCTAACTTTTTTTTTACAACAGAAGCCATAAAGGGCAGTATATAATTGTAAAGCTGAGCATTTCAACCGTTTTCCTCTTGGACTATTGAGTGTTGATCACTAGCGCTTACTGTAAAACTTGTTTAGAAAGTTTTTCTTTGTTTTGGACGCTAATCTGATTTATCGGTTCTCTTCGTAGCATTTAAAAAGCAAACAGTAAGTCTCAAGACTATTACCAATTATTAATACTGAAAGCCTTTCAGAAATGTTCCAGAAAAGGAAGTAGCTACTATCCATTATGCATTACAAATACATAAAGGCATCTCAATTTCCATTGCCCATTATTCATCCCCAGGCTAAAAGTTTTAAGCTGCCTCTGAAGATGTTGCAGAGGCTATTGTGAAGACTAAAGAGCCAACACCCCCCCCTCCAGAGCTTCCTTTTGGTTCCCACTGAAGTGCTGCTTTAAGCTCACCTGCAAAGCTTTTTAGATGTACCAGTCCTCTTTTTTCCTTTTTTTTTCTCTTATTTTTTTCCTCTGCTTGCTTTCATAGGGTATAGTAGTCTACATAAGTTTTCGTCTTCAAATATTTGTGGTCTTCATTCTGTCCTGGCAGGTAACTTAATGCACTCAGCTTTTCACTCTGCCACAATGGGGTGCAGAAGAATTTTAAAACCCTTGCAGACTGAAACTAAAATATGATCTTCATTTTTTGTTTGATTAAAATTTTCGTAGCAGCTCTTGCACCTGTTGCTTCAATTATGATTGGTTAGTTGTAGAAACTAACTTTGTGGAGAGGAAAAATATGCTTAAGACGACCTAGGGAGAATAGCAGAAATAATCTCGCTTCTACTTAGACTGAAGGGAAATATGTTTTTCCCCAGCTATGTTTTCCTTAAGTTTTCCCTTTTAGGAAACTTAATACTTCATGACAGAGGGTCAGAAATAACAATTTGATGAGAAACAAGTGTAATGCAACTATATCTGTCTTGCTTTCATCAGATTATGTAAAAAAACTGAGTGTATAACCAGGTACTGCTGAATTGGATAAAGTCCTGTTATATTCAGTTTCTAACTGGTACTTTTTGAAAGTGGGAGGTGAGGCTGAGGGAGGGGAAGGAGCAGCACTAAGGAAATTGGAGAAGGCACTTTAAGAAGATATAGCTGCCTTGCCATCCTCTAATACTGCTTTTCTAAAATGTTTGCTGTGAAGTAAAATCAACCCTCTGCGTATATTGAACGTGCATTCTTCCTTCTTGCAGGTGACCCAGTGCAGTGCAGTGCTTGGGTGGGCCAGTGTGCTCTGTACATAATGATTATGACATTTGAGAAAACCATCATCATTATAGTGCTTCTTATACCTCAGTGGAAAGAGGTTTGTATTTTTATATTGTTTTACAGAAAGATAAGTTCAGTTGGAAGCTGTAAACCAATAGGCTTCTAATAGTGTTTGTTGATTTGGCTCAGGCATCATAACTGTCTACAGTCAATGCTGTTTAACTCTGTAGTGGTGTTCTTTTAGTTTGATTAGAATACTGCTAATTAGACTTTCTGGCATCCATTGCCAGAAATATCCTGTCATATTTTGGAGGTTTTTTATATACTGCAATATATAAAATTTTATTCCAACTCCTTGTCTGAGTGCTTTCAAAGCTGCTAAGTGGTTTTTCTCTTCTTAATTCTGTAACCCTTACTTACAGCTATTTTGTATTACTTCTTACAGTGTTTTAAAGAATTTTATTTGCCCGACCTTGTTGATAGATCTAAACTGTAGAATTTTAGCAATTTGCAATGGATTAGTGAAACCATTGCTGATGACTGGGTAAATATTTATTTTGATAGACTCTGTGCAACGTAATGTTCAAAGTGATGGTGCATGGCGTTATAGCCCATTAAAACCAGTTAATCTTTATTGTATGCTCTGTGCTACTTTGGGAACTGTCGTTTCCTTACTGTATATTTTGTGAAACTGCTCTGTTTAAATTTCCTAAAAACGGAACTTGGAGCTGTGTGCTCCCCAGGAATATGTTTTAAAATGTTCAAGATGATTCTAAGACAGCTCTTCAGACTTCTGTAAACAAAAATGACAGAGATAAGTTTCTTGCTAGCCCCACTTATTTATCTGTGGTAATTTAAAAGATGTCCTAAGTACTTTCCTTTTCTACAAAGCTGTCCTTTTTTGGTTCGTACGAATTACTTCTGTAGCGTTAGCTCGTACATGAACAATTGCACTTACTAATCCAGTTATGTGCACATGCTGCCATGATCTGAACTTAATCCTTTTCTTTTCACAGGTAGCTTTATTGAATCCTATAGAGAACCCCCAGTTGGAGCTGGCTATCGTCATGCTGATAGTTCCCTTCTTTGTTAATGTTAGTACAACTTGCACGCTTCTGTGAGATATTTAGTTGGGTATCTTTCTGCCATGTGTTCATTATTTAATGTTAATCCTTTAAAGCACAGCATGCCTTGTTGCTTAAGTTAATTTTTAAAGAAGAGGAGTGTTAAAGAGTGGATAAAATGTCTGGATATGTAGATTTTACAAAGTTGAAATCCATATTGAGCTAAGTAACCAGGCTAAGGAGAGGTGCAGAAATGCCTCATAGATCTCTTTGGCCTGATGACTTCAGTAGATTGAATGTAATACTGAAATACTGACGTAGAGATTATAAAATTACAATGAAATTTGCTTTACGAAACAGTCTAAGGATAGCTGTACCGTGAAGTATCCTGTGTCTGATCACAGCTAATAGTGGCTGGCCTATGATGGAGCAGAGGAAAAGGGCAAGTGCGCAATCATCCTTCCCAAAGTATACTCTTCCAGCAATCTGGGATTTAGGGACTAGAGCCAGAGATCGTGGGTGTCCTTGCATTTAATAATTGCTGGTGATTTTTTTTTTTGTTTCATTAATTTGTTCAAGCAAGGATTTTATCCTTTGAGAACCGAAAGTCTGTTGCACTAAGATGCCTGCCTAAACCATTCACATTTTTTCACATTTCTACATGAGGATTTAATACAGGATCACTCTGAATAGCAGCTACTTTTCTTATTTTCTTCTCATGTACAAGTGAATAAAGTAGCTATGTTGTAGAGCATTCATGCAGCGTGTAATAAGCCATGTGACTGTATGCCTAGACAAGATTTTACCTGTTTGGTCATTTCAGGATTATTGTTAGGTTTTCCTAATTCTGTCCAAATACTAACCAAATGAACATATGCTACTCTGAGGAAAACTGAACTGTCACTTCACCCTTCTCTTTAACAGGCATTAATGTTCTGGGTAGTAGATAATTTTCTTATGAAGAAAGGGAAGACAAAAGCTAAGCTTGAAGAAAAGGAAGCAGGACAAGATTCAAGAAATGGAAGTAAAGTCCGATACAGGAGAGCAGCATCGCATGAAGAGTCAGAGTCAGAAGTACGTAGAATTAATTATTGCAATTAATGCAATATCAATCCAGCTCATCCCTCATGCCATTGATTTCATTGTAACACTGTCAGCTTAGTTTTAATTTTCTTTGCGTGTACCTCTAACAGTAGTTCCTAGCATTTGCAGTTGAAAACCAGTTGAGAAAAATGGTATTGTTGCAGCACTCATGGAAGTTAATTTCCTTCCAGGTGGACAGGAAGACATAATAGTGTATTTAAACATCACAGGTGAACTGTGCTTGAAATGCTTTTGAAAGAACCCACACAGAATACAAAACTAATAGTCAATTCTAATTCAAAGAAAGGTTAATAGCTTTAAGTAAGAGGAAGCTGGTGACGGCAACTGGCCTGATTTTGGAGAAGTACTTAGATCCTTGCTTTAGCATAATTTTATTCTAAATTGTATTAAGTGGGCAGTTTTCAGTTCAACTGAAGGATGGGTGGGATCTTTGAAGGTAAATTGTTTTAGCTTTAGTTGGTTAATGTAACTCTTCTGCATTAAAGACAGTACTGTTTATACAGGGTTTTATTTAATAAAATGACTGTCCTATTACCCGTGTGGATACGGACCTTATATATTCTCTCTCATTTTCACAGAAAGCTGCCCCACTGTTCTGGAGGTGCCGGAATCACTTTTTTGGGTTTAGGGTCAGTGATTGTAGTGGAGATTAATACGCATGCATCCTTCTTTGAAATTTACTGGAGGTTCCAGATAGAATGCGTGACATTGTTTGATAGCACTGGCAGTCATGTTCTGTAAGCTCTTTCTTGAGCAAGTAATAAGGTGATTTGCAGGCATAAAAAAAGTGAAAGGTTAAAAGTAGA